AAGGACATCAGCGTTCCTGCAATGTACTGTTAATCTACAACTTTGAGCATTCAAAATTAGCTAGGACAGCAAACCAGATTTTACACCAATTACAAAGTAAACCTTGGCCAAACAGGGAAAATGAAGAAGAAACCCAGGGAATGCATCTTCTGGTGACATAACACAGTATCACTATGGCAACGATCAGGTTAACATGCTAAGAACAATATCAAAGCACCAAAGAAGGCATTTTTACAGGGATTTTCACAATCAGATTAAAAAAAAACAGATACAAGTGTCCTTTCATTCATTTTGGGTAGTTGATGCTGACAAAAAGCATCCTGTGTGATCCTCCTCCTAGAAATTCTGATGAGACATTTTTATCTTTCCTATTGATTTACAGACAGGCTGGAAATTAAATTTTTCATACAGCTTTCAAAACCCTACGTGGGTTGTGACCTGAAGTCTCATCAGTTTGCAATAGGTTGTTGAATATTAAGTCCCATTTTCAAGTGATTTAGGTATTCATCTAAGTACCTTAAGATCTCTTGAAAATCTTAACCTATATTAGCTCATACTCCAAAAAGATAAGATTAGCTAATACTACAATACATATTAGTTACTGGAAAGTAAGAGGCATTGCAGTCTTTCAAAAGGCAAAATCTGAAGGCTTTTAAAATACAAACAAGGCCAAGTTGGAAAATATGTAATCACTAAAGCTCTAATCCTTGCTTTTAATGATGATATTTACTTCATTATAACATAGTTGTTTAAATTTGTCTGGTTAAGATTAGACAGCTTTCTAAAGATAGATGTTTTTTCCACACTCTTCTCCAAGTGGGACACTTTTCAAGGCAGCAGATTAAAATAGAAAAACAACGACTGGGATAAATAAAACACACCAGTTTTGTCTGGCTTTTTTTTCTATTGTCCCCTACCAATGTGTTTTCACACCCGTACTTCTGCAAGACAGTTGTGTTTTTTTTTAATTACTACAATTCTGCACATGAACTCTAAATAATTTAAAGACACAAAACCTTATCTGAAGTAATTTAGCTTCTGTGAGCAGCTTTGTTGGCATACTGACTGAAGATGAGGTGATCAAAATGCATCCTTTCAAAAGAGCCTCTTTCAGTTTCCCTGGAAGATGCCTCTAGGCATCGTGCCACAAGGTTTGTTTTAATTTCCTAACACTTACCAAACAACTAGAGATGTTTCAGAAAAAGTCACATTATCTACTGATCTAACCCCAACCATAAGTGTATCCAGTTACTGAAGGATAGCTTGCATATAAGGTTGTCTGGGTTTTTTTAACTATATGGTTTATTTTGGTTTGTATTATTCTTAGATTTATTTGAGATAAATGCTGAATTTCTTTAAAGGTCTTCCAGTTAGACTGGTGAGTAGATTATTTATTCTAATGGACAATGCTGGTAGGCCAGTCAAAATAATGGCGTGTATGTACATATAAATAGAGAAATACACTCTGCTTTGAGTGTTTAAAACTAACTCAACTTCAAGCAGATTCTTAGCTTTGTGTCATTAAAGAAGTCCTTGTTATACTTTGGAAGTTCAACATGGACAAAATGTATTATCTTTTATTTTAAGTAAAGGAACCTTCTTAAAGGAGTGGAAAACATTATTACTGACTTCTGTTGAAAGAAGAAACGTCTTTCTGATAGAAGAACAACATGAAAACACCTCTCTGCTGTGCAACTCGGAGTCTCAAGACACCAGTGCTCACATACAGGAGCTTGATTTTCCTAATGCCTTGCCTACATAGGCAAGCTTAAGGAATATGAATTATTGGAAAGTAATTCCTGTTCAGTTGGATAATGACTGATTTAGTTCATGCCTCAGAAGTGCTCTGTGCTACTGAGCAAGGCCAATTAAACCTTTGAAATCAACAAGTAGAAGCTTGTTAGAATGAGTTTATTTAATCCTAAATTCAAATGCACTATCATGAACTAGATGCAGTTATTTTCTTATACTGATGATACCAGAATCTTAAATGTTATTAATTCTATTTCCAGGTGAGTTACCACCTTTTGGGATCACAGCTTACATCTGATTTTTGTATGTGGTTTTGTGCTTAAAAATGAAGTCACTGCTTCATTTTGAACCATCCAATAGTTTGCCTCATTTTTCCCAGAACCTAGTATTTTTAAAGACACTTAGGTGAGTTTAGTTTCCATTTGTAAATCAACCTGTGGCACACAGAAAAATGGCAACAAGAACAACTACATGGCAACACATAGCCCACTTTTTCCATGGCCTAATTTTTTAACAGATGTATGAAGAATTATTTACAAAAAATTCTACAAAACATCAATTACATCAATTCTTTCATTATAGTTCCACAAGTTTGAGTGACTATTGGTACTAGTAAAGATTCAAGAACAAGCTCTGCAGGACCCATATATTGTTAATCATTGGATAAGGGAAAACAGTGCCCTCCAAATAGTTCTGATATTTATTTCACAAACTGCTTTTTGATCATCAGATATTCTAAGTTTTTATTAGGTCCACACAGCTTTACTGGACCTTACAATTTTCTTTTTGCTCATCTTCCTGCTCAGGTAGTCCTTGTTCATGTAGATAATTTTTGGCTTTGTGCACCATTTGACTCTCCCCAGGATTATCAGGGAGAGTTTTTGTGGATTGCTTGTACAGGCGAAGTGGTGACCTTGAAGGAGATTTCATTAGTGGAAAAGCTGATCCTGCTTGAGACTGCTGTTCATCATTTACCTGTAACACGAAGAAAAATATCCTGTTTTACTGGTAATGGAAAGCCATATTAGCTTTCTGCAGTGAAAAGACAAAATCTTGGGAATTTGCAAAAAACCATAAACCTACATATTGAAAACGTAAAAACATTAAAAAAAAAATAATTTGAAGACCTTTATGGCTTTGAATATACAATACAGTGAGTCTTGCTATCAGTCATTTTGGTGTAGTATAAAATGGAATATCTGTATCCTGGATTAAGCTGCCAAGCTATTTGCTAGAAGCAGAAAAAAGCTAAACCAGGAACATACAGTACTCTTAATCTGTTTACTAAGGTACCAGATATTGTTTACTGAGAACTGTATTTCATTTTTCCTTTACATATTTTGCAAACATAAAACATAGTTGTCACTTTTTGCTGACATCTGGGCAGAAACCACTGCTTTCACATTTTAACTGATGTGCAGTCAAAGCACTCAATTTAAATTCTACATTAAATTCACATAGGAAAGTGAATACATTTGCATATGAAAATGACAGGGTACGTTTAAAACACCTTGAGAAATTTACAACAGTTGAAACTGGGTGTCTGAAATGAAGCACATATTTATGATCCTGTCAAAGAGAGGGCAAGAAGGCTTATTTCACTTTTAAAATAGAACACACCATTTACTGTATTAATATAAAGCATGAAATAACACGTTTTGATGGTTTCAGCAAATGATGAAACAATATTATGAACAATTCCTCCAGAAATTCCCAGATACACCTCATCGTGAAACAAAACCCACATATCCAGCAACCGCCAAGGGAGAAGAGCACAAACTCCTGGAACTGATGAGTTCTGCATCTTTATACTTGGGGAAAAAAACAACTCTGAATTTTGAACTTCTCCTATATTGTTGAAAGTAAAGAGTAGTTGTCCTTCAACCTAGACAATACAAGCTTATACAAAGAGAAGGACTGTTTGGGAAATCCCTCCCGCAGTTAAACTGAAAACAATTTATAGCAGATTACATGTTATTTGCTGTAACCTTGACTATGGTCAGCAAGAGCCTACAACAACTTTAGACTATACTGGCAGGTCAGTACTACACCACTTTCTGCTGCCAGGGCTTCTTTTTTTCTTTGTACTACTGAGTTTCTTTACAAGCAACATCCTCCATTTGTTTCTAATGTTACAGGAAAACATACATAAATGAATGTAAATAAAACTTATTGGCATCACTTAATGAAACAGTAATAAAACACAAACCTCCAGGCTGTAAGAAGCAGCACATTTTCACAAGTAGGGTAACTAACCCCTCAAACAACACTTTAAAATACAGATTTCTGATTTCTACACCTCAATACAAATTATGGCTCTGATCTGACTTACCTTCCCAATGGTACTTTCTGGCCTCAAAACCAACACATCCTCTAAATGGTGTGGCTCTTACCTTTACATACTTTTGCTGTCTTGCCAACATACCTGATGTGCTAACATAAAATACCTATATTTTTAAAACAAACCAACCACCAACTAAAAGTTGTTCTCTTGCCTTATGGCTTCACTTTTGGCTGGGGGCAGGCTCCCTGATTGCCAGGAGTGTGCTTTTGTGTAACCTGGCAAATTGGAAGAATTTTATCTAGTGGTATATTTCTGTGTAGCCTTCATGTAAAGAAGTATCAATATATAGTATGTATTGCTCAGCTTGACATAGCACGGTTAAAAATGCAGGAGATTTCAGACAACTATATGTTTATTTCTGTTCTAGAGCTGGAACATTTTTTATCAACTCCAAAGTTGCATCAGCTTAGAAAGAATGTCATATTCTGATGTACTGTGAAACATTCAGCAGTGTGTCATACAACTGAAAACACAAAGTTAATGTAAACTTCAGTTACTAAATTTTTTAAATAAAAGCCAGCTTTCAAAACCTAACTCTGTTCCCTATGTACATGTTTAACAGCCTCTCAAGTATCTGTAGTTATTTTATAGCATATTGAATCTGTAATTCCAAGAAAATTTGTTAGCAGAAAACCTTAAGTGTCAACTCAGACCCTCAGAGGTTAATTCTTTTGTTGTTTTCTTTTTCTGAAACCTAAGAAACTCCAGCATAAGGAGTATCAGGTCTTTAGTATCCATTGTAAGAAAGTGAAAATATACCCGTATTTAATTTACATTTCTCAGTGGGTTTTGCTATGAAGTCACAAATTGCATCACAGGAACAATTAGCAGATTGCTAGCATGGTCAAGACCTCTGTCATGTTTTAGTGATTCAGCATTTACGTTCTTATCTTCACTGTATTGCTGAGAAATGTAAAAGAATGATGATATGTCCTCAGATTGACTTGGCAAGATGAATACATTTGCTGAGTGTAGCAGTTTTCCCCATGGCTTTCATAACCAGATTGTTTTTTTAAACTCACCTTTTGTGGTTTGCTGCCACCAGCTGTTGAACAGGATCGCTCACCAAGATTATCTGGTCCGCATTTTTGTACCTCTTGTGCAGGCAAAAGCAATTTCTCACTTGGGAAAATTAGGTGAGGATTTCTTAGATTTATGGCTGTTCTACATAAAATGTAAGGGCTCGCTTTTCCAGTGGGGATATCAGCAAACCCTGAAAAATAAACAGCTTCTATTAAAACCAGCTAAACAAGTTACACTTCCTGAAACGAATCTTGTCTTGTTTTTCATAGCAGGGATAAGAATAGTTGATTAAAAGAAATAATTTGTTCTACTGAGGAAAATTAATCAAAAGGAGTGGTGAACAGATCTTCTGTATTCTAGAATTCATATTCAAGCCCTGGAGGCTGTAGAAAAGGTGCAACAGCAATTTTATATCAAAGATTTTCAAACAAATGTTTGCTCTATTTCTTACAGGTACGTTATTATCTGGAGAATTATTTCAGTCTGAAAACATATACTGGTTTTACGAGAATTCAATGGGAACACATCACTGTGGCATGATATTCCTGATATTTCATATTTTTCTCTGCTTAGAACACTAGAGTTATAGATTGTCTATTATCTCTCTATTTAGCCTAAATTTCAAACATTAACTGGCACATATGTCATCAGAACAGCTGTATTTCCAGAAACATAATAATACTTGTAAGAAAATGAAAGGCAAGTGACATGCAGACTTAGAAATCTTTCCTTCTGGGAGTGATCACTGAAGTTGAGGCAATTCAGCATATCTATGCTGTGTCCTTTAATAATTGCAATTGTTTTTCTTACAAAGGGGTACTCAATATGTAGTTGAAGGTAACATATTTTTCAAGCTCTGATTTGTGAAGTCTTTCCAGTTACTTTCTACTACAGTAAACCCTTATGTGGAAGATCTGGTTCATTTCATTGCATTCATAGCAGAATGAAACTGAACACTCACAAAGATGTTAATATGTTACTGCTGCGGGCAAGACAGTTTTGACTCAGATAATTTTGATTGATGCAATGTATTACCAATTAACACACTTTTAAATACTGATTCTGGTATTGAAAGAAATAAAAACACATAAATAAGCAAGCAGTTGGGGAAAACACCTCCGCTTCCCTACAGATCCCTCTCCTGCCCAGTTTCTGGTCTCTAATTGCCTTGCTGCTTGCTAGACTTTCAGAGTTGATGGAAGCACAGAAGATGGGGGTCAGATCCTGCTCCTTGTTTTTAATTCAATGGCTCAATCAAGGAGGAACCCAGTGGCTGTAGTCCCTCTAGGGTTGTACCTCCTCCTCCATCTCCTCTCAGCTCTCCTTGGGCTGCCTGCCAGCTCCTGCCCATGCTCAGGCGGCCACCACAGCCCCTCAGCCTCATGCCCTGCTCAGTATGATACTTAGCTTCAGCATTATTCCTGTCCCTCCAGACCTAGTATTGTTTTTCCTTTAGCTCAGTGTTTACCACTCTTTCTTACTCATACTGGAAGAATAGGATGCCATCCAGAGGGACTTTGACAGGCTTGAGAAGTGGGCCCAAGCCAACCAATGAAGTTCAACAAAGCCAGGTACAAGGTCCTGCACATGAACCAGGGCAATCCCAAGCACAGTCACAGGCTGGCCAGAGAATGGATTGAGAATAGCCATGAGGAAAAGAACTTGGGGGTGTTGGTTGATGAGAAGCTCAACATGAACTGGCCGTGTGCACTTTAGAGCCAACTATAACCAATGGCTGCACCAAAATAAGCATGGTCAAGGGAGGTGATTCTCCCCCTCTACATGACTCTTGTGTGACCCCACCTGAAGTATGATGTCCAGTTCTGGAGCCCCCAACAAAAGAAGGACGTGGAGCTCTTGGATTGAGTCCAGAGGGCCACAAGAATTCTCAGAGGGCTAGAGGACTTCTCCTACAAGGATAGGCTGAGAAAGTTGAGGCTGTTCAGCCCATAAAAGAGAAGGCCCAGGGAAAACTTACAGCAGCCTTCCAGTACCTGAAGTGGGCCTACAAGAAAGCTGGGATGGGACTTTTTACACCACAGCTCCACAAACAGTAACTTGATACTAACTGGCATATCTCCCATTGAGTACTTTCAGCTTTCATTGTCACCAAAAATGTTTGCATAATCACTTACTAACCCCGAGTAAAACTACTTCAGCAAGAGAAAAAAAACCCCACCCTGTTACGAACACAGAATGTTTGTCTTTATAGAACACTATAAATACCTTTTTTCACTTTGTCTGGAAGCCCATCTGGCTCATAGTCTGTGTCCTCCTGATCCAGCAGATTTTGACAGAAATTATCCTTCCTTTTTTTTTTGGATGAAACCTCTGGCATAGGGGATCTTGGTTCTCCTTTATCTTTCCTGTTGTCCTCGTATCTCTGTCTTTTACCTGAAAGCTTAGTAGTATCTTCACCTGACCTCATCTCTTTGACAGACTGATTGCTCCCTGCTGATGAATCATCCAAATTCAGCAAAGGATTGCTGACAGCATCACTTGTTTGCTGTTTCAGCTGAGCACCCAACAAACTGACTTGTGTTTTTAGCATCTCGTTTGCTTCCTCTAGTTTATCATACTTAACAATTAGAGAGCAGTATTTCTCCAAGGTCTCATTTACTTCTCTGGTTTTAACTTCTACAGATTCCTGTAATTCTTTCAGTTTTAACTTCAGTTCTTCTATAATAGCATTCTCATCAGCACCTTTCAAAGCAAAATACCATTATTCATATGAGTGACAAAATGATGCATATTTAAGAATTTATAATGCAATGCTCAGACATCTTCTCATTAATTATATATGTTCTATCACTGTGGAACTATAAAAAAGTGACTGTGTAACAATGAGTAATATGTTAGACATGACAATGTATTTACTAAATAGAGAACAAACATACAAAATTTAAAGACTCCTTGACCAGTGCATGGACAAACATTTCTCCTGTCATTTTGCAACTTCTGAACACACAAGTTTGTACCCTGAACTTTCCTTAAGTGTTATTCACAGTGCATCTCATGAGATGAACCAAAAGAAGAGTAAAGCATGAGAAGCAGAGGGCAAAGCTTGCTGGAAAATGATAAAAGAACTTGTAGACAAACTTCAGTTATTAAGAAAAACACTCCCCTTCTTCCCTAAGTCACTTTTAACCACAAAAAAATGTAGTATTTAAAATGTATATTCACAATCCAGACTTGCCTCTTATACTTTCAGAGAACAAGAATGAACTAGATTTTTAAAACATTTGACACATTTACTTTTGTTCACAAACTTGTTTATACTAGAGCTAGGAATCATGCTCTGTATAAGAGCATTTGAAAATTGGCATTTTAGGGAAAAAAAAAAAGTTTTACAGAATAATGATCTTCCAAGAAAGCATTAAGGTTGAATCTAGATTCAGTTACCTTCTTCCTTATACTTTGACACAGATAGATTTTTCTTCTTTAATAGTTCGTCACGTTCAACTATTTGTTTCTGCAACATTTCCTTTTCCTTTTCCATTTGCTTACAGGATTTCATCCACAGCTGCACTTTACTGTGGGCAAATTCATTTTCCTCCTTCAGCTGAACTACAATGTTAGTATTATCAGCCTACGAAATAAGAACTGCAGTTATTACACCAGAAACATAATTCTTCCATTTAAACACCACAATGTCAAATGGAAGCTCAACTATTCCTCGATATTAGCTGTAGAGCAGGGTTGTAATGTATACTTCTTTACTTGTTTTCATACAACTTTGTTATAGCAGCTCCTTTACTTCAGGAATATGAAATTCCTCTTACTAGATGGGTGCATGCAGGTGATTAACTCAGCAAAAAACCCAATAATTCAAATGCCAGTAAGGGAGACTTTCTGCCTTCAGATATACCAACGAATATACAAATGTCTAGGTTACTGATGTCAAGCCTAGCATCCTACCTATGAGAAAGCTGTATGAACTCTGAGGCACTAGTCCTTTTTTCACCTGTTATCACTTCATCAACATCACCTAAGAAAGTGCTGCTTTCCAGGTAACAGATTTCAAACCAACACTCTAGATTTTAAAGTGCTTTCTTCTAGTCTGAGCCTCCTTTATTCTTCTCTCCATCTCTAATTACTCTCATTACTACAGAGGCAAGGTAACACAGGCCTACTTTGCACTCTTAAATTACAGCTCAAAAATGCCACTCTGAGTGGCATTGGATCATTGATTTCCACCCAGTTCCACTATCCTGGGCTGGTCCCTGCTCATCTGGTCTGGTGCCAACCTGTGTGCAAACATCACACAGCGAGCACAGCTGGAAACCTTGTATGCTACATTTTCACTACCACAGGCACTGTCTCCTGTCACTGGCACAAATTCTGTGTTGTTGGAATGCTGGTATTAAACAAATTAACACCACAGTGGTGGGCCCTACAGAATAAAGAACTGTTGAGCAAGACGAGTATATTGCAATTCAATGTTTAGTTGCAAGTAAACAGAATTGACTATGTTTCTTCAAGAGTGCATTTAAAGAGATACAGAAATACTCATTCTCAAAGTGGGAGTACACAGCTGGAGCCAGCATTCAATCACAGATAGAACCAGAAAAAAAAAAAAGGTTAAACTTCACCTTTGCTACTAGAAAGCAAAGCAAACATCTAGAACTGTTTCCAGCTATCAGTTGTTCACAGTATGTGGAGCTCATATTCTATCATCAACGAGAACAGTTTTGTCATTTGGAGAATTACCATTTCCCATGACTAGCTAATGAGAATTCTATATAAAAGGAATTGAATCAAGAGCAACGCATCAAGATTAATGCTTGACAGAACATGGTATCTTTTATCACCAAAGGAATTCACAAACAGAAAACAGAGGCACTGCAAAGTCTCTGCGTGTATTCCAACCACATTATAAACCCAGGTGTAATGTACAATGTAGGCAACAGACAGCTGTGTTTAGTATCACACGAACCAATTCTGGCATACCTAACAATTTTTCCAATGCAGATGAATAGTAAAAATAGTTTCATCCATGCTCTGTATTCTCATTAGTGAAAAAAAGGTTGTATTAAAGTCGAGCTAAAACTCTGGAGCACTATTTCCCAATCCTGCGTGTACTTTACTACACGTGCCTTGGGTATCATGTAACTGGTAATGCTTGCATTTTATTTTTTTTCTTACCTTAAGTTTTAGGAGTTCTTCTGAGGCATGGTTAGCTTCTTTAAGGCAATTATTTAGTTTTTCTTCATTCAACTTCAAACGCTCAATTTCCAATTTTTGTGAGGTAATAAAGTGCTCCAGTGAATTAATCTTATCTTGACAGGCCTTAACTTCAACTTCATTCTAGATAAAGAAAACTTGCCTAATTACTGTGATACTAAAAAGGACATAGAGTTGTATTTTAAAGATGTATATAAGAACATATCACAGCCCATTGGAATTCCACAAATTTGTTTCCTATGTTTCAAGAAGTTTTAAACCAAAAGAGCAATTTGTCTCAAGTATACATTTTGAACACCAGAATCTTACCTCTAAGAAGTCTGCTATTAGAAAGTCCTTATATTTTACTATAAAATACTCTTAAATTTATTTTGTATTCTTAAGAATGAAAATTATCAATAAATAATAACAGTAAATTGCATCCCTGTGTCCTACTGGCTTCAAGAACATATTCATAGACAGAATTTTCTGCAGATAAGATGATGGCTATTTCTGTACAGCATGATACACTTCCAACAAACTCGTCCTTACATTCTAAAGTGATTGATCTTTCTTCCCCCTTCCTACCAAAATAACCATTTCCTAGACTAGAACATTCTGTTCCTTTCCCTTTTTCAAATAGTCCCAGATACATTACAAATACACTTAACTCTGAGGTAAATTCACCTTCCACAGCTTGATATACAGAAAAAGTTAATCAAACACAGAGTTCCAAGGTAAGTTTTATAGAATTTGGAAATGCTGTTAGTAAAGACAATTTCTGTTGCAATAGGATCAGCAAAATTTCATAAAATGCATACAAGTTATTAAAACTACACAGCTCCATTCTTCCCATTTTCTGATTTACCTTTTGGGTCAGAGCATCCTGATGCTCTTTCTCTGCTTGAAGTAGTCTGTTTTGGTATTCTGATATTTCTCTTTGCATTTCACTTTCTTTTTTTTGTCGTTCCTTCTTGATAATCTCCAAACTCTTAATCAGTTCATTGTTTTTTGTTACAGTTAGTTGCAGCTGAATCTGTAAACAGTAATAATACATTATTTGGTATTTAGAATTTTCTCAATGGAGGCAGTTGACCTATTAAACTATCTGACTTCACACTTGAGACTTCTTTGAATTTCCTACACACTCTAATTAAAAAATAGAACATCTGATCACAAAAGGCAGGATAGGAGGTAAAGGAGGGTCATCTAAAAAGAAACATTATGATTTGGGGGGTATGCTTAGTGCAAGTTTGCCAACACTGTTAAATCTAGCAGCACTGTCAAAATCAAAGATTAACCTCTCCAGATGTTGTTCCCTCTGAGAGTGACCTGAGAAGTTAAGGGTCTCTTTACTCATCCTCTTTAAGATGACAACACTTTCTAAGCATTTTCATTTTGATTCACTTTTATAAATACTTTTTGGGCAGCTGGCCTGTATTTCCATACAAGATTTCTGAAAGTTGCAGAAATCTCATTCCCCAATGCCACAACAGAAAAAAAGGCCCTGGTCACAAAATTTTGTAAATAATGTTAGTAAGTCAGAGGACCACTTAAGAGGATCTAAACATACAATACTGTTCACTAATAAGACCTACAGTTGCCTAGATGGTAAAATAGTCTTTAAGAATTAAATATGCAAAAATTAAAAACAAAGAATAATATTGTTTCTTCCATGACTTTGTCCTGAAAGCACCTTAACACTACTGAAACACTGAAAGTAGTTTAGTTTCAAAATAAACGTGAGAGCTGTTACACTTTTTATGTAGCATCCTCAGACTGATGATTCAAAACCTGTAGTAGATACAATTTCTTGGCATTGAAAGATTTCTAGATATCCACCTGTGGCCTTTACACCAAAAAAATATACTTTAGAAAAAAGGAAGAGGGGAAAGCTATTAACTAGAAATTCTATCTCTGAAAGGAACATTAAATTTTTTGAAATTTGGAAGCAAGAGCCTCTGGTACTGCACATTAGCACAGCTCTCTTGACCAGCCTCCACACGTTTACTCTACTTGAACATCTGGCTTTGAACACAGAAATATTAGACATAGAGTAACTAACTTTGTCCCTTTTGGACTGTACTTGAATAAGTTGCATTTCTTCAACAAGCTTGTTTCTTTCTGTAGTAAATTCTTCCTGTAATTTGGAAATCTTCTGGTCAGTATCAGTTAGCTTGCCTTGCAGCTCAGTAAGACTTTCAGTCAGTTCATCTACCTGTAATTAAATTTTCCAAAATTATTTTTAATACAAGTGTCATGACTTCCACAGAGGTTTTACCCACAACAAGTAGTTTTTAAGATGGATTATTTTATTCCCATAGCTGGTCCAACTCCTAGCAAGAGTCACAACAGGCTAGTGCTGTTTTCACATGACAGGTGTCCTATTGTTTCATTTTCTTTTGAGCTCCCCAAGTACTTATTCTTGATATAAAAACTCACCCAATACTAATTTGTTTTTCCTCTTTTTCTTCTACAGAAAAGAGGAAATTATCCTGCATTATTTGATTACTTAAACTTCTATGCCTACTTTCAAGCAACCTTCTCATTCATCCTACACTAAAAAGGTCCTATTTCCAGCTCAGTAACTTCAACGCAAACTTATGATTGCATTGAAAACATAATTTAAAAAATAGGAGGCTTACAGTAGAAGTTTGATATTGAAGTTATTTTAAAATATAATTTATTAAGGAAGTGGAAAGCCCAGAGGATATTTTATGTTCACTCCTAAAGAGGGAAATTTACTCTAACGGAAATGGTATTACCTCTTTACGTAAAATGTTCTTTTCACAAAGTGTAAATTCCAGCTCCTTCTCAAGGTCCATATAAGACACTTTAAAAATGTTCAGGATATCTGTGAAGGTTTCATTATCAGACAAATGTTGCTCCTTCAGCTTCAACTCAGCAATCAAATTCTGCAGCCTTTCTTTTTCTTGTTTGTGCTCATGTTGCACATGTGTGAGCTGTAAAGACAGCTCCTCTGTTTCTTTCACCTGATTCTGAAAAGCACTGTTTTCTTGCACCTTTTCATTGAGTTTTTGTTTATAATCCATCAGTTCTTGAACAAGTGCTTCCCTTGTTTGATCCAGTTTGATATTTTCATTTTTTATTTCCTGACATTCCTGTAATAGTATTGTTTTATCTTGCTCAAGACCAGCCACCTGATTAATCAAGAATTGCTCTTTTGCTCTAGCATCTGCTTCCTCCTTGCAAGAAAACTCTAATTTCTCACTTAAATCTTTTAGCTCAGATTTCAGCAAGACCACAGTATTTTCAAACTCATTCTTGATTTGTGTAATTTCTTTCTCCTTTTCTTCTAACAGTTTTGCTGTAGTCGAGTTCAAAGACTCTAGTTCAAGGATTCTGTCTTGTTTTTCTTTTGAATCTTTAGCCAAACACTCTTTTTCTGAGGTGAGGTCATCAATTTGTGAGTTAAAACATCTCAGCTTTTCAGCCATCTCTTCCATCTCCATTGTTAATGTCTCTGCCTCTGCTTTAGCAGTTTCCGACTGAACAACTGCATCTTCTAGATTTTTTTCTGACATCTCCAATTCTCTTTCAAGCCTCTCTATTTTATCCAGAAGAGAGTCAGCTTTCCGTTCACTCTCTTTCAGTTTTTCAGCAATGTGGTGCTTTTTCTTCTCATCCGATTCAATCTTTACTTTCAGCTTCTCAATTCCGTATCGCATTTCATCTACTTCATTCTGTGCTGAGTTAAGTCTAGCAGCAAGTTCACCTTTTTCCATTAACAAGCTTTCCAAAGATCTAGAAAGCTTTGAATTTTCCATTTCTGATGAACTTAATTTACTCTGCATCATTTCTGACTCTCTTACAAGCCGCTCTTTCTCCTCGTTCAAACGTGCTGCTTTGTTTTGGAGTTCTTCCTTTTCTAAGGTGAAAGACACAGTGACCTGTTCCAAACTTTGCAACTTCTGCAGGAGATGATCTTTCTCATTTGATAATTGACTTATATCAGATTTTGCAGCCTCAAGCAGATTTGTTTGTGTCCTCACTTCACACTCTAATCTTCTAATGAATTCAGTAGAATCCACCTTAGTTGACTCTAGCTCTTTTAATTTCTCTTGTAACTTCTGGTAATTCTGATCCAGTTCTTTTTTATTTTCAGACAAACCACTCAGTTCTTGGCCAATATGGTCTTTCTCAGCTGTGGCTGAAAGAAGGTGCTCTTGAAATGCAGAAATAGTTTTGAGGTGAACTTCCCTCTCCCTTTCTAATTGCTGACATCTTGCCTGAAGCATTTCAATATCATTTTCTATGAACAAGGCATGGCTCTCAGTATTAAATTGCTCAGAATTTGGCTTCCTCTGTTCCTTTTCAGCTGCAAGAAATTGTTCATGACAAACTCTCTTGGTCATTTCTACATCATCCAATGTGTCTGATGTATTAGACAATCTAACTTCATGTATCTCCAGCTCAGACTTTACTTTCTTAGGTTCTCTGGCATGGTCTGAAGAGCTGGTTATTTTTCCTGATGTATTTCTACAGTCATGTTCTCCAGAAATCTTTTCAGCATAATCTTCCATTAATCTTCCTTCAGAGTTCTCAGTTACATTTTCACACAGAGAGGTATATCCTACAGCAATTTCCCCAGTGGAGATTTGTTTAGGTTTACTCCTTTTCAGTACTGAGTTTTCAATAGGCACTCCTAATTGATAAGGACTATTGTTGTCTTGTTCGGAGTTCTGTAACGGTTAAGAAACAACCCATTAAAAAAAGGAAAAGTATTTATGTAAGAAAAAAAACAGCTGAGTTTTAAAAGTTTTCTTAAATTAGTAAAGCTCCTCCCTCTTATCTAAAATAAATAGATAGTATCCTTCTCTACTTCAGAATCTGACTTCTTATGGAAATGATTTACAGTTATTTATATACACATGTATCTTTGACCAAAAGGTTTTAAAGATTCTGAGGGAGAAACTTCAGCCAAAATTACTGAGAGACTAAGTGCAAAAATATTATATGCCTTCATATTTTGGGAAAATATGTGTCAATGTGACAAAGTGAAAAAATATTACTATCACTAATAAGGGAAAGGTTTGCTGCTCACCTTCTATTGGACAATAGAGAAACTTCAAGAGACACAAGCCCAAATCCTCGAACAATCTCTTTTCCAAGTTACCACTGCCTGTCAGAGCTGAGCTTACATTTGGCATCACTTGATCTTCTCATTTGAAACAATAAAAATTAGTAATTTCAAATCCTGAGGATTCTGAAAAAAAGCTGGGTCTGAAGGAAGCACCTAAATGATCTGTATTGAGTACTTCATTTTAAAAAAGCTCCTGCTATGTATGGTAAGGAACAGTATTTCTTCCTTCAAGTGTCAGTGCACCAGTGTGGACGCTCTATGCAAATGGCAAGCAAAACATAAAAGTGAAAGATTTTCTCCTCTGTGAGAACAGCTGGCTCAGTGTTGCGCAGCTGGCCAAAATGCAGAGCTTCAAGATGCCCTGACCGTGCGAGCAGTGTTAAACTTTGATTTCTGAGTCTATGTTGACTGGCCACTGGAGGCCACTTGCATGAGACTTAACGGGCAAAACTGCAATTCTCACCAGCAGAAAATGCACCTGCTAATTTATTTTTACAGGGAATTAGCTTAATACACTGTATGCAAGAATTAAACTGGTTTTCCCTCCATTCTGAGTGAAATTTTGATTTTGCCTCTCCTTACACTATTTGCAAAATCTAGTTCACTGTTTGCCTGCCACGCACAGCACTGAAAAAAAGACAAAGCTGGCTCCCAGATTTCTTGTTCCCTTAGGTATTGTGAAGGAATTCCAGCTGAAATGAAAATTAATTGTTCTGCTATCAGGTCATTCTGCTTTGCTGTTAACAGTATTGAAAGGAATTAGAGGTGTGGAAGCACTCCTAGTTTGCTTGTCCCAGTAAGGAACATAGGAATAGACTGTGTTAAATCAGAGATTCAAACTTATAAGCACAGCACAGATACATTCAGTGTATGAACATCCACTAAATCTGTAGGATCCATGCTGATAAAGACATGAAAGAAAACCAAGCAAGCAGTGCCAAGTATTACACAACTCTAACAGACTAAACTTGCTAGTTCTGTCATCATTTGTTATTTCTCATGATCTCTGTGATGCATAAACCAGAACTCAAGGTATGGATTACTTTTCTATTTTCTCTAAAAAACAGTACTACCTCTGAGGGACACAATTCTAACCTACTTCATTTCACAACTGAAGTTTGGCATACCATGAATGAAAGAGTTTACATAAAACCACTTTGCATTACAGCAATTACTTACATTTTCAACATCTGTGCACAGCAGTGAACGAGAACTTAAATCAAGTACTTGTAGTTGGAATCTTGCTGCTTCCAGCTCCAAAGACAGATTCTCAGTTTGTGTTTTTTCCACTTCTAGTTTGTACTCCAGCTCCATAGTCATGTTATCTAATTTCTGCTGCCATTCTTCCTTGTCAGATAGATTCTGCTGTTTTAAATTATCTATTTCTTCTCTTTCGGAAAGTATAATTTTTTTAAGTTCTTGTATTTCCTCATTTTTCATATTCTCTTGAATGTGCAATTGGTCTTCAAGCACTTTGATGGCCTTCTCATATGTCTGACACAGCATCTGAAGTTCTTCAATTCTACTCTCAAGGTAAGATTTTCCAGGAGTAATATTCCTCGGCTCTCTAACAGAGTCCAATTTGTGATCATTATGACAATTTTCACTCAAAACTTTTGTTGCACCTTCTGGAATTACTTCTGCAGAACTGTCCAACTGATTGATTTCCTCTGTCCATTTGCATGTACCACTGTTACAAGAATCAGCCACCTCACTTACTTCTACAAAACAGGGGCTTTCAAACAGATCTGAGGAAGAAACTATGGACTTAGTTTCATCTAATTTAAACAGCATGTCATTTTGGCTAGAAGATAGTGGTGCTCTTGTTGAATCTATAGGAACTTTGCTCAAACTCGTCGACAACGCAGAATTTTCTGCCTTCAGTATTTCAATACAAGACTGTAGCTCAGATATCTTTGATCTCATAGTGCAGTGTTGTTCATATAATTTTATATGCTCATTCTGGAAAGACAAAAGCTTCTCCCTTACTTCAGCAAAATGTATTTTAACTTCTTTCCTGGACAATTTTAAATCGTCATAGTCAGAAGTTGGTCCAGTATTGCATTCTTTACTAAATGACAGTTCCTTATTATCAAAACACATTCTCGGATCGTTATCACTTTGATCCATAACTTCCTCAGGAAAAACAGCTTTCTCAGCTTTTAAATTTTTATCTGCATTCATTATGTTCTCTTCCTCCTCTGCCACTTTATTAATACCTTTGATGCCATTGATTTCCGAATCTTTAAATTCAGAGGCTAATACAATGTTCTCACACATTTTCTCAAGTGCCCTCAGGTTGTCTATCGTTACCTGCAAAGAGGATGCCAGCACAACAGATGAATAACTTTCATCCTTTCCTCTTTCATCACAATTCTGGGAAACACTATCAAAATTATACTCCAATGAGTGGCCACCTTCATCTAATACTGTAAGTGGAGAATCTGAAGTTTTCAGTTCTTTAACAGATAGTAGTTCTTGCTGCAGCCTCTCTTTCTCTCTCTCACTTTTCTCAAGTTCTGCTTTCATGCCTTTTAAAGCAGTCTCCAGTTGCATCACTTCTAACATGTGGTTCTCTAGGGAGAGTTCTCTGTCCTCAAAATCCATTTGAAGAAGCTCAAGTTTAACTTTGTATTTATTCAGCTCAGCATCCTTTTCTTCCATGGACTTCCTCAACTGTTCTGAATAGAGTCTCTGTTCACCACTAACATGACACATTAGAGGTTCACTTTTTGGTTCTAGTCTCTCTCCCAGTTGCTCCTTGTCATGAAATAAAATACCACATTTCTCTTGCATTGTATTTTGTGTTCCCCTGACATTTAGTATTTCCTGTCTTAAACAGTCAAGTTTCATAGAAGGTGTATGTTGAATACTGGAAAATTCTGACTGCAGTTGTTGAAGTTCTTGAACCAAATCCTTTTTTATTTCTTCTGAAGCAATTAGTTTATGTAAAATATCTTTATTCTCCCTAAATATCTGTTTCTCTTGTTCTAATTTTGCTTTGATTTCCTCAAATTCAATTGTCTGCTCTCTCAGAACACCCATCATGTTTGCATTTTCTTCTTCCATTGATTTATACTTCCCTTGCAAAATGTTAAGCTCTGTTTTGATTTCTTCAGTTCTTGATTCAGTAAGTTGTCTTTCCTCCTTGTGCTTTCTGGACATTTCAGAAATTATTTCTTCCCTTTCCTTTAAACTATCAGAAATATTTTTATTTGCTTCCAGTAAAGTTATTTGCTCTTGTTCTAAAACACTGCTTAAATGCCTAAGGGTTGCATTTTCTTTAGCAAGTTCTTCAATTTTTTTGCTATAGGCACTAATCATTGAAGACATGTCCTTCTTCTCTGAATCCCATGTTTCAGACATGAGCTTCAGCTGTCTTACTGAATCTTCCAGCAATTTATTATTGATCTTTAAGTTCTGAAACTCAGCTTGCTGGCTTTTTAATCTTTCATTAAGAGTCTGCAGTTGCATGTCCTTTTCCTCAAGAATAGCTAAAGTGTTCTCAACTAATTTCTGATGTGCTGAAGTATCTTCTTGCAAGTTACTAATGTGCTGTTCAGTTTCAGTCACAAAGCTTTCATGCATCTGTTCTGCTTTAAATAATGTTTCTTCTGCTTGACCCTTTATTTGCAGTAAGTCTTCATTCTGCTGCTGTTGATTTGAATTCAGCTGCTTTTGAGCCACTAAGGAAATCTCAAGAGAAGAAACCTGATCTTGTAAGATGGCCACATCCTTATTTTTTTCTGCTTCTAGAACAGCTCTTGCCCCTTTGTGATCCTCAGCAATGGAGTTATTTGCTGCAAGTTGTGTATTATCTAAAACAGTTTTATCCTGATCACTTTGTGAATTAACTTCTACATCTCTGATAATTTCTGAAGTATCTTTTGCTTTTACAAGACAACAGATTTTTTCATATTCACCAAGCAGATCATTGTAACACTGCTCCCTCTGCAGTTGTTCACTTGCTGCTAATTGTAACTTTTCCTCTAGTTCACCAACTTGGTTGGTAAGCTGAAACATTTTACAGGACATATTGTCTATCTCTTTACAGTACTTTTTATCAGAACATTCTGCTTGCTGCTGAAGTTCATTAAAAGCTTTTTTTTGTTCTTCTAATTCTGCATTTTTATGTTCCAGCATGTCTTTAAGTTCTTTAATCTCTGTGGTTTTCCTGTCACTTTCAGTTTCCAGCATTCTGAGTTTCTCACTATGTTCATGATTTTTTATTTGCTGACTTTGAAGGGAACTCTCCAAGTCATTAATATGAGTCAGCATAACTTCCTTTTCAGACTTAAGTATATTTATGAGATTATTATTTTCAGTTTTCCATAGAGAAAAAGCAGTAGCCTCTTTTTGCAATTCTTCACATTCTCTCTGCTTGACTCCAAGGAGCCCCTGCAAAGCTTCTGATTCTTCTTCCATTTTACTTATCTTACAGTTTTGTTCTTCAATATGGGTTTCTTTTTCCCTGAGTAGGTCTTGGGTAGAATCTTGTTGCTTTTCCATGTCAGCCAAAGCTATTTTCAGCTTCTCCAGCAGAAGAGAACTCTCCTGCTTTTCAAATTTTTCTTGCAGTAACTTCAGTTCTGCTTCCTGAAAAATATTCTTATCTGTAAAAGAAAATACCGTCAAATCTTTTCCAGTCAATACTGACAATTCTACCAAAACTTTTCCAGATGAAACTTTACTATTTACTTTTAATATTTGCAATTCCCATTCTAGTGCAAAGCATCACTCTCAAGTTTTCTCACTGGATGAAGGATTGTTGGTATCAACTTAGATTACCGGACACTGTGTATTCATAGACTTTGTGAAATTTCCACTCTGTTGTCTGACACACATCTGCACTCCAAGCAGGTATGTCCATACTTCACAGGTGTAACTACCTGTTTCTGTGTCTCATTTTTACCAAATTTTTATATATAGGGGTTTTTTTTTACAGGACAGGTCGTATTCCAGCAGAACTACAAAGTACATTTCAACTCAATTCCTAAAAACAAAGACTGAAAGCAGGTCTCAGCTACTGGTGGTTATGTAACATTTTCTTACCTTTTTTTTTTTTTTTCCAAAATCTGTGAAACACCATAAAAGAATTACAAAACAGAAGTTTTCTGGTTAAAATACATTCTATGCAATTCAGCTTGCTGACAAGTTCAGTACACTCTGATCCATTGTGCATCTTCAGGAACTGCATATATTCATAGCCAAAAGTTAATTTTCATTTAGGAGTAACTTTATGTTGGTTGAAAACACTAATTGCATCTCACAGTGGAAACCCTCTAACCTAATTCACTATGAAACTTACAGGATTGTTGGCAACATATATTATTAAACATGCAACAAGAGTTCTGCATATTTAAATATGTAACTCACTTTTCATCTCTTCCGCAAAATTCTGGCTCTGCTTTAGAGACTGCTTCATCATATTCAGTTCTTCTTCAAGTTGGTGGATCTTTTGCAATTTTTTCTCGAGTTCGTAGTCAAGAAGGTTTTTCTCCTTTTTCAGTTTCTGAAACAAAACCAAGTAAGACCATATTTCATGTGAATTGTCAAGATAAAAGAATTACATTCATATAAACCAGAAGAAAGATATTCCATTAAGACCTATTAAGTCTCTGGGCATGTAAGCTTGGGAACATAAGCTGAACTACTCTTAATTTTAAGAATAGCTGACAGCATGTGAGAGATGCTCATAGCATAGCATGGCCCTTGTTTGCATAGAACAAACAGTTCCACATGATCTGCCCCAAACAGATTGAGAAGGTCAGGACATAACCTACAAAATCCAAGTTAATGAAATTAGGCACTTTCCCAAAGCAAGAAAGGAAACAAATAAATCCCTGCAATGGTATCAAAATTAACAAGAAATACAAGGATAGGATTTCACTTACCATCTCATGTAGAGACAGGTTTTCTGTCCATTGAACATCATAATCATGTCAACACTAGTACATTTTTCTTTAGAAGTGCTTACTCTTCAGAGGATTGTTTTGTTGTTAAGAGTATTTTCTTCCAAATAAATTGTGGTTCAAAAATGAAAAACCTCCCACACAAGCAAAACTATCTAACTGTATTGCATCTAGGAAGCCAAGTGAAAGGGTTTTTTTAAGGAAACTAATCCCTTTTCTCCAAACTCCTGTGTCACTGGACAACAGATGGCATGGCACTGGCATGGCCCAATTGGAAACAGCCCTCAATTATTCATCCTTCATCCGTTTACTACTAGCAGATGGGCAGCAATTCACAAAAGCCAAGCTCAAGAAATGGAAGGCTCTGGATGGAAAAAATTAAAAGCTTGCTGGCACAGCAGTCTTGTTTTTGCAACAACATAAATAAATCACCCTCAGAACATGATTAAAATTGTCACTGTCACTAACAGTTCCCTTCTATTCATAGCCTTCCCTACCCACACTTTAAAAAAACCAAAAAGAATCTAGTCACATAAAAATTTCAAGGAAGAAAGTTTTCTAGTAATGATTTGGTGCAAACATTTCCAAAAAGCAGCACTCAGCAAAACTCGGGAACCCATAATTTAATGGACTAATTATCTGATAGCAGTTGGCCATTTACACTTCCCAAAGCTATAAGCAAAAGAATTATTTTGGGTTTAACCCAGTTATTGGTTCTACTTGAGTTAGCCATTCTGGGATGACCCCTTGAAAAAGCAAAACTAAACCAAAGCAAATTTCAGAACCTATATACAGGTAGCACTGTTATTCTGGAGAAACTCTTCATGGGGCAGGTTTACAAGCATTTTAGGAACAGACTGACCACTTTTTCCAAGAATAGACATGGGTTTGTTGCTTGTGCCATCAAAATGTAAACCATGTGCTAAGATACCAAAACCGCTAAACTATTGAGATATCACCACTGAAAGGCTTAGTAGTCCTTTGACTAAGCATAACCAGTATGTCTCACAACTGTCTCTGGTTTGCAACTTTTCTTGAACACCAGTCTTACTTTACAGTAAGGACTATACACAACAGTGGATTAATCTTCATGAAACAACTGTATTCACTGGAGACATTCAAAACCCACCTGGATGAGTTCCTGTGTGATGTACTCTAGGTGACCCTGCTCTGGCAGGGGGGTTGGACTAGATGATCTCTCGAGGTCCCTTCCAACCCCTAAGATTCTATGATTCTATGATTCTCCACTGCATAGTTAGATCATTAGTGTAAAATTGCAACCACCTCCCTTTAATACAGAGATTCCAATCTCACTCTTGTTTCTGGGGGTTTTTTTGCCATAAAAAAACCCCATCTATTGACAACAAAGCCTCCAAGAATTTGAAACAATTCCATGCAATTTTTTGCATGATACATATTTCTGAGAGTGAGGAAGACAAGCCATGCCATAAGCTCTACTGACATATACGATGCATTCTTTTATGCGAGTCTTAAGATAGAGAGAACTGTAGTGTTACTCATTTCCTCAAATATCACAATCTTCCCCAGATTAAACTTATTTATAGATTTCTTGATCATGTTCTAATGCATCACTGTTAGCAGGTGTTCCATTGTCTGACCAAGACAAATATGAAGAACAAACCTGACTCCAGTTACAGCCTAGAAAGATGTATACAAAACTGGTAGATAAAATTCAGCACTCCCAGGAATTTGAAGGAAAAAATGTTGTTTCCACAAATTAGATGCTCTCTGACAATGCGATATCAAAAAACTGTATCAGCTCTAACCTCACTCTATAATTTCAAAGATAGAAAGGTCATGAACTCACAGTAACCTATATAAACTACCTTCTTTTTTCCCTGTTTTTTTTTTCTTTTTTTCTGGAGGGGCCGATGGGAGGGACTAAAACTATGAAATATTACATTAAGAATGTGCAGAAGCTTGATGGAGGCTTTCCTCCTCTGGGACACATTGGAAGAAGAAAAATTGTCTTGATCAGTTTTACCACTGGAAGACACCAGTTCAATTTATTTACTAGATAGATTTCAAGGACCACTATCTGGCATTGAGGCCAAGTGACCTGGAACAGCCTGTATATGTACAACTAAAGTCTTCTGTCTTCCAAAACAGGTGGCTATAACCAAAGCATTTGCTGGGAGTGCTCCCAGGCTCATGTGAACTCCCAAAATGTGCCTGGGATTTGCAAGAAACAGTGCTAGTCAGCTGGGCCAGAGCCACACAAATGCTGTTCTAACAATTAACAGTATAAATAGTCACATTCTAATTCCTGGGAAGGTTCCCAGACATTCTAATCTACCAGCATGAATGTACCTAAAGTTTCACAATATACTAACACTATACCGACACTTGTGCTGATCTGAACAAAGCCCACTATTTTATTTTAAATTTGTTCATAGAATTTTGACAGGTACATTTTTGACAGAAATTATGCCAAGTTTTTTTTTATTTGTTTATGACAACAGGCAACAAACAAAATTAAAGTGTTTAAATAAAATAAACTAGGACATGAATTACACAAGTATTGAGATCTCTTTCTTTTCTACCTCTGATTCTCCAAATAAAGATAATAGTTGCATTGAGAGGTCTCTAGTGGCACAACTGTGACAACTTCATCAAGTGTAGCTGCCCTAATTGCCACCAAAGCAAAACAATATAACTGAAAAGACAAAGGAGAAGTGAGAAGATTTCTGCATCTGTGAATATGGTAGCACCCAAAGACTTATCTGAATTTATTTTCATTTGGGGAAAAGTTTTTACAGCAGTGTATATTTGTTGGATTGTTCTTCTGAGAAAAATGTTATTTAGAAAAAAAAAGAGTATAATAAGTCTTTGCATAAAATCTCTGTGTCAGTGTGCATCAAGGCAGTAGTCAACTATTCTAAAATTCACTTTTAAAATCAAATGAGAATTGATACATTTTTATTTCGGGACAAAAAGCAAGAATTTCTTCAAACAAAAAACTATTTTTTATAAAAGATAAGTCCAACATGAACTAGAACCATATCAGCAGCACTACAGCAATGAATTCCAACCAGGCAGCCAATTCCACAAATTGCATTAAACTACATGATGTTAGTGAAGACCTCATTTTGTGTCACAACTGAGATATGTTATTGAGATAATTCATAAAAATGTTTCAAGATGCTTGTGGGAAAATACACTATGTGAGCAAATGCTCAACAGTACTTGTGTTTACAGATTGCCAATTTATGCTAATAAATCCATCAACTACTCCTCTGCATTGGTTACCTCAAAGCTTCTTGACAAATCCATTTCCTTAGTTTGGGCAGCAAATAAAGCCAGCTCTGCTCTAGACAGCTTCTGGGTGAGGTCACTGTTATCATGTTCCAAGTGTTGTTTCACTGCCAGTACCTGTAACAGTGTTGAAAATTGACATTGTATTCACAGCCATATATACTTTTTTTTTTTTTAAACTCCCGTTCCTGAACTCCAACATTCTATTACAAAATAAAATTGCATTATTTTTTCCCATCAAGAACCTAAGGTCGCTTCACTGCAGTTTAGAAAATAGCTGCTTATTGCCTTTACACTCCTCTGCCTCTGACCAGAAAGACAGTATGTCTCTAAAATACATATATTTCTAGATTGTCTGAAATTGGATTAATACATTCAGCTTGCAGTTACATCACCACAATGATATCTGTAGGATACAAATGAAATTGGGAATGTAATGGCCTTTTTGCTAAGCTATGAGAATCAGAAAATTAGGATCATAACAACCCTTACTGCTCCACTGGCATAGATTTTATAAAAACTGAACAGGTTTTATCTCTTTTGAAATAGTGCTATAACGCTCCAGATTAAAAAGGAAGGACATGCCATTATCAAGTCAAAAAAGAAAAGGAAAAAAGGTCTATTCTGAGGTCATTGGGTAATAAGCTATCTTTCTTAGAGAAAGAACCAAAAGGCACATATTTTTCTCTCTATGAAATCAATTTCTTCAGTAAGCATATACAAAAAAGTGTGCATATAAAGAAACCTCCCCTGAAAACATTTGACTGAAAGTATTTCCATGGCTATATTTCTAAAATAAAACAAGCCTGCAGGAAAGCTGTTCTAGAAGTGCTGCTTCAGTTCAGCCTGCCTACTAATGGGGCTTCTGAATAAAACTTCCGAAAACTTGTGGCCCTTTCTAGAAATTAACTTAGCTCTGATGCTTTATGGATACTCTCAAATTTTTCTGAGGTTTTGAAGCATTCCTCTTTTCTGGTCACCCATCCTTCAGGTTTGTGCTACTTTCTAACTTCTTAAAAATTATTATTTTGTGACAACTAATGTGTTCTATTAGAAAATTGCTGCGAGAGCTGTGGAAGACCTCCTTCATACTGATGTTCCTCCTTACACCAGCACTGAAAATCATCTGATTTTGTGGAGAACCAGTTCAGGGAGCTAAACTGATAGCAAACACTTGTGCTTGTGTACACATATGCTACTTTAAAAATAATGTTTTCTTCTCTCTCTTAGCTCTTGTAACAGCTCTCTGCAGGGTCACACGAGGGGTAGCACTTCTGAAAAAAAGAAGTACTGTAAGTGCATAGCCAGGATGTATGAAATAGAGCTGCTATTCCAAAGGACAGGTACTCATTGACCAGTTGTCCTGGTTTGAGCCAGGATGAAGCCAATTTTCCTTTTACTGATTTTTTTTTTCCTTCAGAAAACTCCCTTTAAGCAGCACACAACTTTTCCAGCTGGTGATAACACCCAAATGTTTGTAGTTACTGCTGAGAGACCGAGGCCACTTAGCTCTGCTGTTGAATCTGCTGTTTCAGACACTGAAGAGCTGTATCTGCAACCCTCTCTTAGGAAAGAGCAGACTAGAGAGATGGCAAAATGGGCCAAAGGGAGTATTCCATCCTCATGTATGTCACACTCAATATAAATTCAGGGATCATGGAAGTAAACTCCCTTTTCCTTTTTCTTCTATCCACTGCCAGCGTCCAGGGAAGACTCTGTCTACCCATCTCCTTTGATCCTGAGGCCTGTGCATTTCTGACCCTCACATCTCTACCCTCAGCGCCTGCCTGCTCTGCCCACATCTCCAGAAGTGGTTCAGGACCTTCTCAGAACTGTCCACAACTCAAGGGGAATACACCACTGGGAGTTGCTGGGGATGTGAGGAAGCAATAGGGGTTTTGCACATTCCTGCACACATTTATGTATATTTGTACATATTTTCTTTTATCAGTAGTATTTCATTAAAGCTGCTTAGTTTAGTTTTCAATCCAGAAGCCTCTCTCCTTATTCTCTCTTTCACTCTCCTTTGCCTACGTTGGTGGGGGGAGGGGATAGAGAGCATTATTGTCCTTCATTTAATTGCCAATCCCAACTTAAACTGTGACATCAGTTTCACTCTGTCATCAAACTGCACCTCTGCACAAACAGAGCTGCTCCTCTCTCAAACAGATTTATTTTAGCTGCAGTGTTCTGTGTTTACATGTCCTTCCCCGTGGGAAGCAGACTGGCCACAAACTTTTAAAAGCCTGTAATTCACTTTTAAATACATAGTATTTCAGTGAGAGGTGGTAAATACAAAACAGCTAATACAAACTGTGCAAAACATCAATACAAGTCCCAGCATTTTTCACTTCATGTATAATTAAATTAAAGGGATACTGCTGAGACAACTCAATACCAGCTGTAACAGAAGATTTTAATATAAAAAAGCCTACTTTGTCAAATTCTGCCTGCAGAGTGTTGAAGTCATTTTTGGCTTGCTGTAGCTCCTGGTTCAGTTTGTTCCTTATCTGGTTGCACTGCTGATCCACTGTTTGTAAGGCATGTTGCTGACAAGAGAGTTCCTAGAAAACAGTGGTACAGTAGCAAAGAAATTAATTAGCAAGTATCTGTTTTGGTTACTGAAGTGATAACAACTGATGCCATTAGCATATACCTCCTGCTCAGAGATACTTGTCTTACACAGTGAACAGTAGTTTAAAAACCACTGTGATGCATGCTACAAATGTCACATGGGCCAGAATGTCCCTAACCCAATTTATGTCATCCCTTAAAAACTCCATTACGGCAACATTCTTATCACAGAGAAAAAAAAGAAAAAAAAAAAAAAGTCTAACACTAGTGAAAGTAATGGTATTAAAATTATTCATCTTAAAGAGAAGTTTCATATAAGAACTATACTACACCAATGTGGACCAGTTCATCTCTGCTATTATTTACTTACCATACTCTAAGGTTGATTTTTTTCTAGAACAATTAAAAAATAGTCTTCACATAATACCTGGCATGGGACTGAGTAACAACATACTCTCACAAGTTTGGTCATGAAAACTGCACAAAAAATAATGTTTCCAAAACAGACTTCCTGAAATCTGCAGAAGGATAATCTAGTTTGTGTGGATCTTACAACATGCCAAGCAGGCATCCATTAGGATAAACACCTGTACTTGTCAAAATCACAAAATGTCAAAAGAAAAACATTCACAGTGAAGGAACTACAGCTGACATTTTCTGCAATGTGGCACTGGCTCCCATGTATGTGAACATCCTGTGTACAAGTCAGTGTGTTTTAGTCAGTATTATCTGTGAAATGATGCCAGTACCCCTTACATTCTGCTTGAGAGCAAAACCTGCATAAGAGGCCCAAGCACTTCCTACACCAGTACGACATCCAGTAAACAAGCAGCTGTTTTTCAGCAGGGAAAGTATGGATGAAGGTGGAACTGTCACAGACAGAAAACCCAGAAAGATCAATGTGTTTGTGTGTGTGTAAGTCTAAATATATATATATAAAAATAACATTTAGCATTTTTCTACATAGAACCCAATATAGATAAGTCTGCAACTGCATTCCCACTCAGCAAGGTGACAGAAGAATTCTACAATTTAGAAAGGAATAGGATGTGACACCAGTTGGCTATCACAGTAGCTGTCACTAGCAACTAATGCTGAGTAAAGTACATACTAGTTCCAAAGAGCTCTTCTGCAAATCTCTGGTCAGGAGCATTTCCTGAGCTCATGCTAGGATACTCTTTGGGCCCAAGTGCACTCCTTATTAATGAAACAATTAATTCCATGTCTTTATGCCCCAAAGCATTCCAATAATTACTTCTAAAGTTGATGGACTGAAAAGACTCTGCTTTCTAAAGCCTTACGTGCCTTATGTGTTACAGGATAAAATGGCAGAAAACCTTTCTTTCTTTAGATGAATGTTCAAAACAAAGAAACAAAATGCTTCCTCTGGTTTTAGAAGTAAGAAAATAAGCTATGTACATCTAAGCTAAACGTAGAGGCTCCTTCCATAGCCAGCAGGCAAATATCCAGCTTCAGAGTGAAGAGCCACATCTAAGCTGTCTGGAATAAACCGCCTTCGGAAAGCGCCTCTGCCACTGCAGAGTAAGGCAGAGGCCTAAGTAACAAGCTTAGACTGACACCTATATTTCAGATATCTGAAAAAAGGTGGTATGAATTTCACCTTTTCATAGGCTGGATTTGATGACCTTAAAGGTGTTTTCCAGCTTTGGTGATTCTGTAATGTGAAGCTTGGATGGAAATATTTAAAGAAAATTTGAGAGAGAGCAATGAAAACTATGCCCTGGTGCAAGTGCAACTCTGAATCTAGCCTGTGTTACCATCTCAGAAAAAGCCCTGGAGCTTCTCAGACCTTTCTGAAAGTTAATTAAATTCATTCCTGGACCTCACCTGCCCTCTAGAAACAGAAATACAAGAAGGGATACACCGGCAAGGCTTCACTAGATAGAATTCAGTAGGAACAGTACCAGTATCTAGGTTTCACAGGAGGGAAAAATTCTTCCATATCAGTCATATGAAAGTCCTTTTGCTTTCAAAGGAGTGGTTCCTGTTGCTGTGGGTGGCACCTTAAACGCCTGACATCCAAGCTATCAGCTATTGAGACAAGCTCTAGCAACAGCTAACAATGTAGAGGATATGATGTGCTGCTTCTCTGAAAGAATATCTCAGAACTACCATATTCTTAAATGGTCCCACTGAATAGGGTGCCAGTGCCCAAGGGGCATGCATTAGGCAGAGCAGAGCCAATACGGACTGAGGTTGTAAGGAGTCCCCACAAAAGATGGTTCATGGGCCTTCAACTCATCTTTTAATGAATACAAAGACTGTTTTATTTCAATCTTTCAGCAGTGTTTTTTTCATGCTACAACAACCCAAGTAAAAAGATCGGTTCTTATTATTTACCACTTCTAGACAAGGTATAGTATCTCTTTGAAATCCTGAGTCAGCATCTAGACTGACAGCCCATGAAACCACTTTTTCACTCAAGAGCATCAGTAGCAGCACTGTTCATCAGCAACTCCAGCAGAATTCCTCTGCCAATTATTTTATCTCTCTGGATAGACTTTGGAGAAGCGGTTTCAGGTTAAACATCAGACCCAACATGAGTTCCTAAGGGCAATGCACTTACCCAGTTCCCTAAGCAAACTTTAAATACACATCAAGAATTGGCACTAACGCTTCAAAATCTATGTCTTGGATTTCCTAACACCAATTATGTTATTAAGTTTAAAAAGAAAAATACAAAGAGTGTAGACCTAATCCAAATCAGTTTTAATGCTAAACATAACTTCACCCCAGGAAAATTCCTGGGATATTTCTACACTTTGAATCTCTGCACGAGATGGCACAAAGGAAACAGAAGACACTTATTCTAATCCCATATATTACCATCTTCTAAGCATGAACCAAAATGAGAATAGCAGAGATATAATCCTAAACAAATTATTTTCTTGTGTGCAAGATGCATGGAAAAATCAACTCAGTTTCCACAAAAATAACTGAATCAGTTATGAAGTTTGAAATCACATACATCATTCTGTGAACAATGAAGCCTACTTTCTCATATATTTGTATCTTAATTGGGTCTCTCACACATACTCTCTATTGTCTAGTGAATACTAACACAAACCTGCATCTCTCCAACATCCTCGGCCCTTTATTGGGATGTTTTCAGCTTTTCAATTACCTTTGCAGTTTTTACCTCTCTATCAAATGTGATTGCAATTAAGTGAAAAGCAGATACACAAAATAAGTATGTGATTTCATCTCCACAGGGAGTCAAAACTAAAAAGTTCTTCTTGCCTTACCTGTTGGTATTCCTTTTCCTTTGCCTTTATTTTCTGTTCTAAAGACCAACGAGCACTCTCAGCACTTTGTCTTTGGCAACTCAGATCTTCTGACAATTTTTTCACCTTTTGCTCCATCATTTGGACCTATAAAAATGTAGTTATCAACCACAAGTGTTAAAAAAGCAAGTGGCATTTTGTTTAAATTTATATGCATTTACATTAAAAGACTGATTTCACTTACTACAATTGTTCCAGCATTCACATAACCTGAAGAATAATTTTACCTGGTACCATATACATTCTTAGCAATCCAAAGTACTAAACTCATACTTGCTTATGCTAGTGACAGTATGTATATATAGAACAAGAACACTTGTATCTATGTATATAGTTAGGTGTGTATACATAGACATGTGTATACAAACACAAAGTCATAAAACATCTTCAGAAAATCAGCCTTTGACAGTTTACAGAAGTTTACTGTATCTAGCATTTAAAATATATTACCTTTCCAGAACCTCAGGTTGCTATGAGCTAACCAATCACCACTAACTGCTAAGCATCTACATGTTTAGACTGAAAATAACTGGATATTTCACTGAATTTCAATGACTTCTCATCCTTCCCCAGGCATGTTCCTAGATATATAACCATGACACCTTCCCTTGTGCTGGATTTCATGTCTTTTTGATTCCCTAGTTAAACAATTCAGCTCTCAAATCCATAGAAAATTAACAAGGCAAAATTAAATATGTAATATCCTGGGCAAAATACTTTTTAGAGGAACTGAGCTGTAAGTTGGGTCAGTTGTCTTCCCACAAACTCGCTGTAGTGACAGTACCTTTGTGTAGTCAATGGACAGTGTCAAGAATATGATTTTGTCTTCCTCCCAGCCAAGACTTTCCCTAAACAAGTTCCTCAGAGCTAGCAATACCTGAACCTTGCTGTCTCTTTCAAAAAGCAGACTGCAGACTTAGGTATCATGGAGAAACTTGCTAACAAAGAAGGATAACAATTATTATATACTGAGAAGCTACATAGAAAAATATCGTTTTTCCTATCCTGTAGCTGTATCAAGGTAGTAGAAAAAAAGTGAAAAGATAGGCAGAAATATGAAGATTCAAGGAATTATGACATCTGTGATCTACTTTCAGATTTGACAAATGCTGGGAAAAAGATTTTAGGAAGGTAATGCAACATGATTAATTAGGAAAAAGATAAAACTTTTACTTCAGCAGTTTGAATTAAATTATTTTAAACACTGGCATTCTCTTCTGTGCATGATTATGTACAAAATTCTGAACCATTTCACATTTTTATATTTAGGTATTTAAATACACTGTAAATTCTTGACTAAGCAAGTTGTACTATCCTGTTGGGTTTTTACTATGCATCCAAACTCCTTAGTATTAGGTCATGAAATCCTATTTAGGAACTACATACATTCTCAGTCTTGCATAGCATTTTAACCTAGATTTTATTTTGCAGAAATAATTTACAATCTAAAGACTATGCTCCCACAACATCCTGTACTATAAGCAACAGATACTGATTTTCAGCCAATGTTGGATGAAAGAGTCTACTTAAGGTCAGAATTTGCCACCAGATGTCATTGTTGCTCTATGCAACTTGATCAGAAAACGTTCAGAATTCCAGTCAATCTTGCCTAAGGACAAAAAAATATTTCTTCCGATGATATAAGAAATTTCCAGAAAATGGGTGACATCTTACATATTTCTAGGTAATATGTTCGCAGGTAATACATATCAAACTAACATATACTTCTTAAAACTTGGTCCTCAGTAAATGCTCAAGAAACTTATATAAGAATCTTTATTCTTACTAAAGTGGCTGAAAAATTACACACATTACCAGTGGGAATTAATTGTAAGGACAGTCAGAAGATGTGTGGTACAAACGTTGTACCTGTGCAGTAGCTTGATCAAGTTGTGTTCTCATTTGAGTCTGTTTATCTCTGCTTTTGTTCAGAACTTTGTCCTTCTCTGTTAATTCCAACTTCATTCTGTCCAGTTGCAGTTTAATCTCTTGATGCTTATTAATATGGGACTTCTTCACTTTTTCTTCAGCTTCCAGTTGTTGTTCTAGGTCTTTAACAGTGGAATTTAACTCTGAATTTTAAAAACAGTAAAGATTAAGGATACTTCTTTGAAAGGTATACCTTCCAGGTACTCAGATTTCCAAGTGTCTACACACTCTAAAATATTTTGTATGTTTGATAACAACCCACGTTTCTGACACTGGCAGACACCCTGTAAAATGTTCAGCAAGCTAAAACCAAAACTTTCAACTCTCTTCTAGTACTACTACAATGACTAAAACTATCGAGATTGAAAGATAGTTGACTCTAAATCAATCATTTCCAGTTTGTAACACACGAGAACACAGCAAAATGTGAGGCCAGGCACAAATCCTGCTAAAGTAAAGGCAATTTGTCTCTCTGCTGTTTTATTGGTTGGTTGGTTTTGTAGCTGTTTTTAAACCCATAAACATGTAACTTGACATGTCTATTTTAAGGGGCTTTTTATTTTCAAAAGGATAGGTATCTACTACAAATATGTTTGATGCAGCTGCAAACCTCTACTTCAAAGAGGCTTTTCAGTTGTTGGGCATCTCTAAATACAATATTTTATATTTTAACTTTTTTCCTGTTGCCAGAGCAGCATACATATAAAGCAAAGCTAAGCTATCTTGTCACTATCTACATCAGTAGGAGTTTATCTTCCAAAATCATAACATAATTCTACAGAAGAAACCATTAGTCAAATACGCGGAGTGTTATCCAGAATTACTCTTATCTGGTAATTCTTTTTATTGAAAAAAATCCTGTATTCCTAATGCTGAATTTATAAGGCTTCCAAGTTGAAAATGCACATAGATTGAAGTTTTAAATGTTTTAACTGAATAAACAGCTTGGAGAGTACACTAATTTGTAAAACAGTCCTACAAGAATCAGTGGAAAGGCTGGTAAAAATGTTCAGAAAATCCACAACAAACCATTTAATTCCTTTCAGATCCTTTCGGATATCAGGAATTAGTATTTCTTCAGGTTAATATGCACAATACAAGAAGATATTTTACTTTTTTATTGTGTTCATCATTCATTCATTCATTCATTCATTCATACTATGCTTCCAGTAACATCCATTATCAACCAAATCACTTATGCATTAACAATGTTCAGTAAATGATTTTTTTACAAAGGTATTGCTCAGTCATAAATCTCAAGAGTCATACAAAATTAAGGAAGCAATGTAATTGCATTTAACATTGAGATGTAGTAAAATCCTGAAGAGATTTTTTTCCCTCTGTTTTAAGAGAACTGTTTCATGAGCAATGGAATAATTGGAGAAAGCCTCCTATATGATGTCCTGTACCCACCCCAAAAATACAAACTCTTCCCTTCTGTCACACCCTTTAAGTAAAAGATACCACAGCTTGTGTATAATTTTTGTGTAAAGGCTGATGATTGCAAACACATACACCAGCAGGTAGCTGGGCTAGTTGCTAGTTGCCTTCTAACCACACCCCAGCCTTCACAAATCCATATAGGAGACTGCCTCTGGGTTTTAAAGAAATGTATCATTTACCTTGGTTCTGCGCTCTTAGCTGAATGACCAGTGAAGAATCACAATTCTCAGCAAAACTGTTGTTGAACTCGTTCCTCTGTGATATTATACTGGAATTTGTCTCCTTTTCCCATGGAAAAAAAGATGTTGTAGAACTTCTCCTTGCAGGTGTTTCTCGATTTCTAGATGGTGTTTCTTGTTGCCATGAAAACACAGAGGAGGAAGCCTGATGCCAAGCAATCTCCCTGTGACTCAAAGAGCTTTGACGTTGAGGCTGATTTATTTTCTGTGCCCAAGAAAAAAGGAATCTATCTTTACACAGCTCCATATCCAACATACAATGAAATAATTAATGTATTAAACATCTGATAATAGATCATGGCCATTTCACATTTTATAACTTCACATCATTCACCAGTGCAAACTACAGATTAATGTAATTATTTTGTATACTACATAAATAACTTCATCCCAAGTATCGAAGAATAACTCATACTTAGATACACAAACCAGGGTCTCAAAAAAAGTAGTTGTATCTGTGTATACAAGTGACATACCCAGATTTTTGTCTTTTTCGAGATAGATTCCATCATTTACCTCCTACATTTTCCAAAGTGGAAGCCTATATTTTTACGAGCAAATGCTGGCACAAGTAAGCTCCAAGAAATATGGAAATCTAGACTAACATATCTGATACCTGACCCACATTTAGTTCTTCTGGAGCTTCTGGTTGCATTGTTGAGATTATGAGATTATGTTTTCCAAATGCAGTACTTCACTTTTTTTTTTTTTTTTGCTAACACTGAATTTTACTTACCATGTTAATTTTTGCAGTTACTTAGTTTTACAAAATACTGTGTGGTCTTCAAGTGTATTTTTCAGCTCTTTTTCAGATCACTAATGGATACACTGAATAGCACATTTCTCTTGACCAGTCCTTTTCAGGTACCATTGTTGACCATTCCCCAGCTGTAAAAACTCCCAGTTAAGAGAATTGTTTCAAGTTTTTCAGTGTTGTGGATATCCAACAACATTATACTGAGTCACATAACTCACATATTCTCTGACTTATTCTTAAAAAAACAAAAAAACTGAAAATATGTGAGGCATGATTTCCCTTCAAAAAGAAATGGTTTATCTTTTCTCCATACACCATAACTACATATGCACCAATAAACATACTGCTTTAAGCTTCTATCATCACCCAGGACAAACTGTTGGTCTGAATAAATGACATTTTTAGGAATCATTACTGTTAAGTTGTCGTTCTTTTAAATGGCATCATTATTGTCACCTTGCAGTGTCAAGAGAAGGACGAAATAAGCTGCACATCACAGTGAGTCAGAAGGCCCACACTGCAGTGCCCTATCAATTAATGGGTAAATATTATCTGGTAAGTTTTTTTGTTACTGCTTATTTTATCAATCTATTTTAAGACTACTTCTGAATTTCATCTTGAGGCTGTGCCACAAATTCAACCTGAATAAAAAAAGGCTCTGATACAGAACTTATTATGCCTTTAGATAGTAAATACCAAATAAAAAAATTATTTCAGCTTTTCTGCAATGGTCTTTTTTTCCTTGAGGACTTTCACATTGTAGTCTTCTATCGACCTCAGAGATTCCCTAATACAGTTAATTCTACTTACATCTTTGAAATTTAATAGATTCTTATTTGCTAGGTGAGTTATTTCTCATAATCTTTTCAAGGCTATTTTATTATCATATTTAACTTGGCAAAACTGACACTGTTGTCTCTTGTCCTTGCTTGCATGAGAATCTCAGTTTTTGAAAGATGTGTTCTCATTTCTGATGCCCTTCTTTCCTTTGCTATTCAGTTATGCTGGCTTTTTTGGATTCTCCAAGATTTTATTTTATTTTTATATACCTTACCCAATGCAGATATTTCAATAGGTTTAGACTCCATTTTCCAAGTTTAGTCAGTAGTTACAGTCTTAGATATCATATATACCCTTCAAGAGATACTTACCTTTATGTAGATGGTTCTCAGCTCTAATTCCAGCTTTTTTCTTTCTTTTACTTCTTTCTTGTATTGTTTTTCTAATTCTTCAAACTTAGCATCTACAAAGACACGATGAATACTTCTTCATAATCTAACTTAGTGCATAGGTTATCTTTTCCAGCCTATTGCTATCACTATCACAGGAATGATAAAAATGAAGAGCTATCAGAAGAGCCAGAACATGAGGAAGGAACAACTGTATATACAATATGTTCAGTAATTTACGACCTCAGAAGTACTGGAACTTGATATTAGAATGAAACACAACTGTTAAAAAGGAAGGATTCAATGCCACATGTTTAATTTTCTAATTTCTCTCTCTAAAAAACATATATGCATATGTAATAAACATATGTACTTAAAAATAAATATATATAACATAGATGTATTATGTTATATATACATATAGATCATATACTTGGGGTTTTTTGAAGTATTCCTACCAGCAGACCAATAGCACTAACATTACTGGATCTTATCCTTGACTTCCTTCTAAATGCAATAGAAAGTGGAAAAATAATTTATTTAGGATTTTTCTGCTGAAATTGTAAGAGGAGTGAACTATTAAAAAAACCCCAACTATTCTTGCTTCCCTTTTCTTGAATTTTTATATAATTTTATAACTCTCTGAAGAAAATTCTAGAACTAGAACACTTTGTAGCATTTTAGTGAAGGCTGAGGGAGGTGATTGTCTCACTCTTCACCTTCAGTACTTCTCCCACCTGAAGTACCATGTGCATTTTTGGTGCTCTCAATATAAGAAGGACATCAAAGAACATATTAGAGTGTACCCTGATACAGGTGACCAAGGTAGTGAAAAGTCTCAAGGGCAAGACTTAAGAGGAGTGGCTGAAGTAACTTCATTTCTTCAGCTTGGAGAAGAGAAAGCCTAGGGGTGACCTCATTGCAGGCTACAATTTCCTTAAAGGGCCAGCAAGAGGGGAAGGTGCTTATCTCTTTCTGGTGATCAGCAACAGGACATGAGGAAATACAATGAAGCTTTGTCAGGTGAACATTAGGACAAGGACGTTAGAAAATAGGTTCTTCACTGAGATGGTGCTCAGTCACTGGAACAGTCTTCTCAGGGAAGTGGTCAGGGCACCAAACCTGTCAGAGTTCAAGAAGCATCTGGATGACAGTCTTAGTTACGTGACTTAGTTTTAGGTAGTATTAGAGAAGCGGGGAGTTGGACTCAATGATCCTCATGGGTCCCTTCCAGCTTGAGATATTTGATGATTCTATGATCTTAAACAATTTAAGACTCCAGTTTCCAAAGGAAAAAACCTCCCCAGCAATATCACTGT